TCAAGTATAGCAGGGATTGTGGGGCTGGCGTGGGATTGGGCAGTGTTTCGTTCTGCTGTGCATGGGGTCGCTATGAGTCGGAAACGACTCAACGGCACTTAACAACAACAACAATTTCCTTATTTTTCCATATGAGATAAGAGATGGTGTCTTAAAAGTTAGTTATATTGTGAAATCTGAAACTTATCAGTGGACTTTCTGGTGGCCTAGTGCCTAAGGCATTTGACTGCTAACCAGAAGGCTGGCAGTTCAAACCCACTGGCCATTCCTTGGAAGGCAGGTTGGAATCTAGTAGAGATATCTCCTTGGAAACCAAGGAGGGGTCGCTATGAGTTGGATCCAACTCACTGGCAGTGAGTTTGGTTTGGTCTGGTTATACTTTTTGATTTATTTTGCACATTGAATGAATTTTTTTTTTTTACTCATGAATGTTTTTGTAACATCATTTACAATTAATTTGGAAAATGTTGGTTCTCTGAGTTAGGCAGGCCTTCTAAATATTGGCACATTTCATTATACAATATTTAAAAATCATATTTGTTAATATAACCACTGACCTCATTAGGAAAATGTCACACTAATGTTGGTTTTAAAAAAAAAAAGCTTTCTAAAAATTCCCCCCACCTTGATAGCTGAACTTTTATCATTGGCAGTAGAGGTCGTCAGTTGTTTTTCTTTAAGTAACAGAACTCACTTGGTTCATTTTTAAGACCATGGCTGCCAGATGCTATATGCTATAATACCATGGTTTAATATATTATATGCAATAATAATCATGGTTTGTTTGGTTTGCAACTCAATCATAAAAGGGCTTTTCCTTGAGACAATCATCATACTTCAGTATGTAACAGAAGTGCTTTTGCTTACTTCCCATTTTGTAACAGAGAAGATTAAAAAGTCTACCCAAGGGTTGAGGTTTAATAAAATTAATAATTTCTGCTATTTCATTATGTACATTTTTAAGTGAAACTGGATTTTTCACATAAATCTAGTGATACATGTGGTCATTTCTTAGAATACCTAGAAACCTAAGTGAAATGTTATAGCACTGGGAAGACAGTAAATTTTCATTTTATGAATACTTGAAGTTGGTATGTTGGGAGACAATCTCTTATTTTAAGAGCTAATAGAGTTATATGAAGTTGTTGTTTTATTATCTTATAGGTGCTATACTTGGCAGATCAGAAACTCAGGAGTGTATTTTCTATAATGCTAATTGGGAAAGAGATCGAACCAATCGAACTGGTGTTGAGCCCTGTTATGGTGACAAAGATAAACGGCGACATTGTTTTGCTACCTGGAAGAATATTTCTGGTTCCATTGAAATAGTGAAGCAAGGTTGTTGGCTGGATGATATTAACTGTTATGACAGGTAAGGAAATATTTTATTTTTTATCATAATGTTGAGTAATTTTCATTCCTGCCCCCTCAAAAGGGGAATGACCAATGCATATATTTTCAGTTGACTGTTTCTTGCTTTTTTTAAGATGGAATTATGAAAAATACTATAACATACTCCAGTGACAGAATAAATATTTTAAAGTAATAAAATAAACATAGAATATTTATGTTTTATATTTGATTTATTTGAGTAATCTACCAAGTATTGAGAACTCTAGGTAAGAAACATTTCTTTACTGATGATTTCAGGATTATGAACTTTTTTTTGGTGCCAATTTTAAGGAAAAAGGATTTTAAAAATTGCTTTAAAAGACAGTATATCTGGCAATAATAGGTCTATCCTCAAGGAGAATAAAACTTAATCGTAGTAATTTCCTTTTAGTTTCCTTCTTTATGTATATGGGAGAAATTGATCTTACTACTCCCCCCACCCAGTTTTTGTCCTTGGAAAGATGGCCTTTGTTCTCTACCCCAGAGACATTTTAACTTGATGTTGAGAATTACATCAGAATTAACACAGTCTTTACAGAAAGCTACATTTTATTTAAAAGGTCTTATTTAAATTATTTTATTATGTACTGGGAATGAAATACAGTAGTCATTTTATAGACTAACTGTGACCTTTCCATTAAGGCATCATAGATGATGGGCTGATCACTTAACTGCCTTGGCTATAGGATTTCCAGTGGGGCTCAGGGTGATGACTGTTATTATTTTATTTTTGCACTCTTTCCTCCCCTCCTCCCACTCCTGGTAGCTAAAAAGGAAAATTTCCTTCTCTACATAAACCTTACCTTGACTTTTTATAATAATGAACTAATACAATAATTGTTCTTCTATGATTGACTTACTTCATTCAGCATAAGGTCCTCCAAGTTTATCCATGTTATTAGGTGTTTTGTAGATTCTACATTATTCTTTAGGTTTGCATAATATTCTATTGTGTGTGTGTGTGCCATAGTTTGGTTATCTATTCTTCTGTTGAGGGGCACCTAGGTTGTTTCCATCTTTTGGCTATTGTAAATAGTGCTGCTATTAACATGGGTGGGCATATATCTGTTCTTGTTCTGGCTCTCACTTCTTTAGGATATATACCTACTAATGGGATTGCTGGACCAAATGGTATTTCTAATTCCAACTTGGCAGAGATGTTTTGGAGCCAAAAAGTTAATAGACTCACTGAACACTAGATACCTTCTGGTCCCTTTTCAGGAGCCTTAGTTGATTAGTGGGAACCTGTGATTGATTGGCCATATGTGACTAATACCAAATGCATTGAATAAACCCATGAAAACTGAATTTACTCAACTTACAAAAGAAATGAAAACGTAGCCATTTACATGCAAATTTAGTATTTAGTGTATGCCTCTAGGTCTGAATTAACCCAGGAATTATTTCTTTGTAGATACATTATAGTTGCATTTCTGTTTACAGAAGTGATCATTAAGTGATAAATGATATTATGAAAGGTAAGTAGGAAGAAGAAGGAGCCCTGGTGGTACAGTGGTTAAAGTGCTTGGCTGCTAACCAAAAGGTCAGTGGTTCAAACCACCATGGGAGAAACATGAGGCGGTTTGTCTCTTTAATGATTTACAGCTTTGAAAACACTATGGGGCAGTTCTCCTTCATCCTATAGAGTTGCTATGAGTCAGAATCAACTCAACAGCAAAGGGTTTGGTTTGAAGTAGGAAGAAATTGGAGAAAAATGAGGTTTGGGGATCATCTTTATTGTAAACTGTCTTTTATTAGTTGAAATCAAAGATCCCCCCTTTTTTTTTTTTTTTTTTTTTTGTGGCAAAAAGATACTGTGCTTCTTGCCTAAGCCATTATTTCAATTGGGTGAGACTCAGACAGTGCTAAAATGCTTCCAACAAACCAAACTTATTTTCATCAAGTCAGTTCCAACTCATGGCAACCCCCTTTGGGTTTCTGAGATGGTAAATCTTTGCAAAAATAGATTGCCCAGTCGTCCTTCTGTGGAGTGGCTGGTGGGTTTGAACCACAACTTTCTGGTTAGCAATCAAATGCCTTAGGCACTGCGTCACCAGAGCTCCTTGTTAAAATGCTTATAGAACCATTTTTGCTGTCAGTAGAGCTTTGGTATAGATAACAGAGATTGGGTTGTTTAATAAACTTGTTTTCGGAGTGATATTATTGTAATATATTTGTTTCTAGGGCCTTTAAACTAATTTAAAAACATGTGAATTTTTGTTTTTATGCTCTAAATTTGATTGTAACACAATAGTAAGGGTAGTAAAAGAAGAGGAAAGAAGAGTGATACAAAAACAAACTCACTGCCATTGAGTCATTCTGACTCATAATGACCCCTGATAGGGTTTCCAAAGCTTTAAATCTTTATGGAAACAAACTCATCTTTCTTCTTTGGAGCAGCTGGTGGGTTTGAACCACTGACCTTTTAATTAGCAGCCAAATGCCTTAACCACTGCATTTCCAGAGCTCCTTGAAGTACCACAGTATGGAGGAAAAGACAATAAGAGTTTTCAGTTTTGGGTGTATAAAACAACATGCTCACTGCTGTTGAGTCAATTCTGACTCAAAGTAACCCTATAGGACAAAGTTGAACTGCCACATAGGATTTCCAAGGCTGCAAATCTTTATGGAGGTGTTCTGGTGGTGTATTGCCTAAGGCATTTTACTGCTAACCAGAAGGCTGGCAGTTCAAACCCACCATCCACTTCTCAGAGGGAAGGTTGGGCAATGTACTTCATAGAGATACTGCCTCAGAAACCCAGGCGGGGGTCTATGTGAGTCAGATCTGACTCCAAAGGCAGTGAGTTTTTTTTTAAGAAATTTTTATGGATGCACCCTGCCACACCTTGGGGAGTCACTGGTGGGTCATAGTGCTGACCTTAAGGTAGCAGCCAAGTTCTTTAATCACTGTACCACAAGATTCCTTTATAGTACATAAAAACCAAAAACCAAACTCACTGCCATTGAGTCGATTCTACTCATAGCGACCCCTGCTTGGGTTTCTGAGGCAGTATCTCTATGAAGTAGGTTGCCGAATCTTCCTTCTGAGGAGTGGCTGGTGGGTTTGAACCACCAGTCTTCTGGTTAGCAGTCAGAAGCCTTAGGCACTATGCTACCAGAGGTCCTTTATGTTGTTGTTGTTATGTGCCATGGAGTTGGACCTGACGCATAGCAATCCCTCCTTGGGTTTCCAAAGCGGTATCACTACGGAGGTAGATTGCCCAGCCTTCCTTCCAAGGAGTGGCTGGTGTGTTTGAACCACCAACTTTCTGGTTAGCAGTCAAATACCTTAGGCACTACACCAGCTCTCCTTTATAGTACATGGGGTTGTGTGTGTGTGTATATGTAAATATAATTTTCACTTTTTATAGTCATTAAATTGGGTGAGGAAAAGTTCTTTTCTTTGAATTACTAATTGTTTAATCATGTTGATGATCTCCTATATTGTGAATCATAATTCTAAATATAAAAAATTAGTTTTTAAATTTATACACTTCTCTCTATAAATTGTTAAAACTTAACTTCTATTTGTCTTTTTAAGTCATATTAAATAGATACTATTATAGCTTTTGAGTTTGATTTGCTAAAACTTCCTTCTCTGAAATTTCTTGAACTTTTCACTTTAGAGTTGAAACTTAACCTTAATATTCAAACAACCATCACAAAAGTTTGCAATTTATTTGTAAGATACAAGATACATCTTTAAGTTCACCTGATGCTTATTAGCAATTTTTAAAAGTAGAATTTGTGCTTTTCTTCTGTAGGTATGGCTGTTTCTTAGTGGTTCATTAGGGTTTGTTGTAGAGGCCAAATCTTTTCAGCAACTTTGGTTCTGTATAGAAAGCTGCCCATTTTCCTCCCCCTTTAAATTAACCCAATAAGTTCTTGAGTTACTGAGTGCTATTGTTTGTTATAACATATTTATTTTCCACCTGTTGCTTATCTCAGCCCTGTTCATTGTGCTGCAAAAAATGACACCATTAATATCCAAGACTAGTTTGGGTGTCTGATGTTGAGATAAGCTATGCTTGTGAGATATGATCTTGTATTAGTTTTTATAGTCTATTTTTATGTGTAGTTTTTATTTTCATGAAACTGGAAAACTCTATTTCCAGTGAGCAAAAGCATTCATAGACCAAATTTTTTCATTGGCTTTAAGTTTTTCTAATGATTAAAATACAAAAAAGGTGGTTGCCTTAATTGATCATTAAGAAATAAATTAAGGTAATGGTCTTAAAAAGCAAATGTGATTGTTAGATTAGCAGTTATTTTTTCCTGATGGATTTATTAATAGGAGTCTAAGAACATTTTTGGCATTTAAGAATTGACCTTTGGATATTAATAAAAATCCTGAAATTGAATATAAATTATTTTATCTCCAAGAAGAACTTCAGAAAAATACTTATTGTTGGTTCACTATAATAATGGTGATTTTAATTTTTTCTTGTTTGTTTGTTTATAGGACTGATTGTATAGAAAAGAAGGACAGTCCTGAAGTTTATTTTTGTTGCTGTGAAGGCAATATGTGTAATGAAAGGTTTTCTTATTTTCCGGAGATGGAAGTCACACAGCGTAAGTTCACAGGGAAATATATAGATTTATTCAACTGGTAAATTGAAAATATACTTGTGTTGGAAGGAATAATTTATTCCTACCTCTTTGTTCTCTATTTTTCCCCTAAAGTTTGGCATAATAACAAATACATATATTTACATGTAGTAAATTGTTTTTATCCCCCTCCCTTTTCTACAGCTACTTCGAATCCAGTTACACCTAAGCCACCATATTACAACATCTTGTTGTATTCCTTGGTGCCACTTATGTTAATTGCGGGGATTGTCATTTGTGCATTTTGGGTGTACAGGCATCACAAGATGGCGTATCCTCCTGTACTTGTTCCAACACAAGTAAGTTACTGTCTCATACTTTATGCTGTTTGAAAATCATGTTTATTTAAAGAAAAACATTCTGGGATTTCAAAATAAGTGGGACTCTTTTTATTCTCATAATTCTA